ACAATATTTAATCTAACATTTAATAATTGAATTATTGAACAAGAAATTAATACACACGTACATTAAAATTATTTTGTGTTCTTTGTATTCTATTGTTTATTATACATTGAATAAATGAATCAAAGTTTTCAATGAAATGTATTATCACTTCTATAATAAGTTGCAAATTGATTTAAACTAGCCCTTCATATATGCAACTATTATGTATTGCAAAATGTTGGTAAAGTTGGCGCGCCACTAATGGTAAAGTGCAGTAAGAGGAAACAAGGACTGTATGAGAAACATGGAAATTGATGTCATACAGAAAGTTGAAGTGTTAAAGGGACACCGTTTCAAATGAAATTTTAATAAAATAATTTCTGAATAATAATTATTGTTAAAATAATTCTCTTTGATAAAATACAAAAGTATAATAAAATATGTTTTTTTAAAAGCAACTATAATTGGTTTAAATAAAAAATAATATAATAATAATAAAATAATAATATATGTAAAAAATATAATTGCAAACTTTTCTCAATGTATATTTGATGTATATTTTTTACGTTAATTTTTCTTTTTCAAATATGACTCACTATTTTTGGCTATTATTTTTTTGAAATAAAAAAAATAAAATAAAAATATTTTACAAGTATTGAGAGAATATTGAAAATTAAACTATCAATTTTGATTTAAATAATATTTTGAGATAGGAGATTGTGAAGAAAAATGTATGCTGATTTATATTTTCTAGGAAATAAAATTTTCCTACAATATATCTTAAAAATGAAAACGAAACATTAGTATTCATAAAGAAACTAAATTTGGAATTTTGCCTGCGTATGAAGCTAATATCTATTGTAGCATGAAATATATATATATATATACTACCAAAAATATTGTAGAAAATCGTTCTGATACGTGTAAATTTTATAGTAGATCGTGATATGAATTGAAAATATTCACGAGCGATTTAACGCACCATTCTATTTGCTACAATGTTTAATCTTCCTTTTCACGTGTCAATAATTTACATCTATTCAATATTTCCCACGTGTATTTCACCTGTATTTTCAAAATGCATTATTTTATGTCAGTTATTGAACAGACAGGTAATATACCTCGTTATTTTCCAGCAAAAAGATCTGCCATTGTTGCACAAGTAGAATAAGTCGTGTTCAGATAGTAGTGTAGGTCAACCGTTTGTCAGGCAAATAAATTGAAACCAGGATGGGGTTAATTAATTTCGTTGAAAAAGTAATTGGTTAAAAATTTCGAATTAAATTACTTCAAATAATTGTTTTATTAACCATTTTGTATATTACAAATTATTTGCAATTATTGTTATATATAAATTATCGAAGTAACTTCAACTATTAAATCTTGCCCATCACTGGTTGAAACAATTATGGCCGTGCAAGTGGTACAAGTCAATCATTTGCGATTAAAGAAGAAAAGGACAACAAAGACGGTTCATAAAGCGTAAAAAAAAATCTGATTAAAAATTAATCTATTAAATTTCACGTTCTTCTCTCTGTACTCGATATTTTTTTTATTCGAAAAACACTTTTTATTCAAAAAATAAAAATAAAAATATAACGAGCTCTCCATACACGCGCAGTCTAGCGAAAATGATTTGGATGACGAAAAATAAAGTGGTATTCACATTTCGACAGCATAATTATGCATATACCAAGCCTCTCTCATTCAAACCAATATCTTTTAATTATTTCTCTTTCCAATCCCTGAATCTTTCTCCCATTTCCACAATTCACAAATTTTTCCACCCCTTCCTTTCTCCACTTTTACTTTTAATTGGTGGATTTGGAAATTGATTAATTCCTTTAATATTAGGATCACCAGATATAGCTTTTCCACGAATAAATAATATTAGATTTTGATTACCTCCTTCATTAATTAATACTATTACTTAAGAATTTATTCTATCCAAGTCCAGGAACAGGATGAACTGTTTATCCACCATTATCTGAATATTTATATCATTCATCTTTTTCAGTAAATTTTGCAATTTTTTCACATATCATCAATTACAGATTCATTAAATTTAATAGTTACAATTATAATTTATATTTATATATATATATTTATATCATTCATCTCCTTCAGTAGATTTTGCAATTTTTTCGTGTATCAGGTATTTCATCAATTATAAGTTCATTAAATTTAATACAAGTTACAATTATAATAATAAAAAATTTTTCATTAAATTGTGACAAATAGATGAACATTTGAAAATTAAATTTTATAAAAAAGAAAAACAGAATTATTTTCACAATTATTTTTGCGATACAAAACTGCATCCATATTCAGGATGAGCAAGATGCAGGCACTCGAAGCGGTGTGAGGAAGTGGGTGTAAAGCCGGATTCTCGAATCCAAGGGCCACCGCCACGGTGGCCCATTTCAACGGTCGTTCGAGATCCCTTGCGAATCGTGGAATTTGCACGAATGGCACCGGTTATTCTTATCGTGCAATTTCCACGCTTCTCGAGTAAGTGGATGGACCATCACGCTTTGGCCTTGTTCTCGCGCCTCTCTTTGCTTCAATTCCCTTTTAATCCTCTTTTCTTAACAGACAGGAAAGTGAATCTTCTCTGTCTTCTTTTATCTCGTGTAAAGAATTATACATGTTACACATGTTATCTTGAGTGTTGTTGAGTGAAGAGTGAGCGAAAGACAGGGGGATGATTAATATTTCAAGGTATTTTGAAATATCGTTTTGATGCTTTTTTCTTTTTTAAACTTGGAAATTTATAAGTGAAAGGCGACTATGGATAACTATAAGAATTCTATTCGTTTCGATTTATCGTTTCTTTGTTGATTTATATTATATTGCGATGTTGCTCCTCCCTCCTTGATTTATCTCCTTTCGATTCTATTTTTTTTTTCCTTCGTCGATTTACTGTTACTCCACGATTTATTGTCTTTCAATATCGATTTAAATATATTTTTTGGAAATATATTTTTGAAAGTATATCTTTTTGAAATATTTCAAAAAGATTGGATTTTGAAAGTTTTCAAACGGTTCTCATATTTATATCACTTCGTTTAAAGTATCGTATCTACTTCCAATACTAATTAATCAATATATTTAAAAAAAAAAAATGAAATTAAAATTGCAAAGAATTGAAAAAAAAATATCTTCGTTTCTCACAATCTGTTTCCGTATCATCAATGATATTATATTATAATAATTACATATGATAAGATTAAAATTAATAATACAAATTCTTTGACTGCAAAAAGTAGTATCACTTTTTTTTCTCGAAAGGAAAAAGAAATCGATATTTTAAATATAAACGCGTGCTCGCGATGTTACGTGATTGCGCGGTTTAATCAGGTCAAATTAATTAATTTTTCATATCTTGAACTGGATGGAAGCTAATCGATTATGGCGCGAAAATTAATTCGTTTCCTTGATTAAGCATCTCTTAACAAGTCGTTCAAAAGAATTTGCAGTCAATTAATTTTACGTGCAAAATTACCATAATTATTTTTGTAATACGTCAACGACCTCCTTTATCTTTGTAAATATTGAAACTGAATGACAAAATTTAATCCTTTCAAATTTTTCTTTTCTCGAATATTCATATTCAAAAGTATTAATTTTATTGGCGAATAAACATTTTTTTTTTTTTTAATGGAACAATTCGAAAACGACAAAAATTTTCGTAGAGTATAATTAGCCCGATTGAGATGGCCATCTTTATCCAGTGTTATCGATAACAAATTCTTGGGGAGGGATGGTCACGTGGTTTCACGGGAAAAGTGAGTTTTCCTCGATAGTTGGCGAGAACAATTAGATTGGTTGAACCCATCGACCTAATTTCGAGGAAGGATTATTAATTGAACGCATTATAACTTGAACCAGTGTCCTGTTTCTATTAGATCCGGACCATTATAAGAATCTGTTAGGGATAATTCGTTTATTAAAAGTAAAGGGGATGAAGGAAACGAAAGAATTACGTTTTACTCAAAAAAAAGACATTTACAAAAATAGTGCATCATTGTGTTTTTAATAATAATGGTGGAACAAATGGAAAAGGATAGATCGAGCATTGATTAAGAAATTATTGGTCGAAGAAGTAGCGTGGATCAATCATTGACTGGAACAGTAGAAAAAGACAGTCAGAGGCAGATGAGGAATATAATAATTTAATTTAATTTTTCGTTTTCGAGAATTTAAAATTATTATAAAAATATTCGATATACATTTTATTCCATGTTGTATCTTTTGCACAATATTTAATATTTAAAATATATTTATATTATATTGATGAATTTCAACCTGTTAATCATGCAACAATGCATCTATTTTATTATACACGAATTGAGTTCAAGTTATAGTGATATGGATGGTTGCTCATGGTGACAAATTGGTCAGCTTAGTGGTTACGGTAAAATACTGTCGATATATAGAAAATACGTTTAATTAAATTTGCGAAAATATAATTATAATATATTGCGAAAATTATTGAAATAAAAGATAATAATAGTAAAGATAATAATTAGTAAAAGAATCATGCAACATTTGAGAAATATATCTATATTAATAAAAACTATATAATACTCTATACTAATATGATAATATTATTATAATATTGAACAATAAATTGGAACAAATAATAACGTATAACCGAAAAACACCATGGCGTAATGCGTAAGTTCTTAGACTTTAAATCTAAAGATCGTCTGTTCAAATCCACATATTATTGTTCTACATTTTTTCTTGTTTTTTCTGTACTACATTAGCATTATTTATACTAATATTAAAATATATTACGATACCAATAATATAAATTAATCATAGGCTCATATTTCTACTACTAATATATTTCTATAATACTAAATATATTTCTATAACACTATTAATAACTACTATATATTATATATTTAATAAAATTAATTATTAATAATATATTATTATACTGGTACTGATACTAATTTACTAATTGCTATGATATACTAATTTACTACATTAAAAACGTAAATATGTTGCAGGTGGATCGTGCGGAGAACGAGGAGGGCCAGGGAGGGGGTGGTCTGTCGACGTCTTCGGCGGGCTGCAGCGGTGCTTCCGGTTCGAGGATGGGCCCAGGGCCCGATTCCGGTAGCAGTGCTCCCTCTTCTGTTCCCCACTCACTGGCGACGTCAAGAGACGACGAGGACGACGAGGACGAGGAAAGTAGCGGAAGACGTTCCAATGGCCACACAGGAACGCGGTGAGTCGCCTCTCGATTCTTTATTTCCTCTTTACTTTTTTAACCTTTCTCGATCGGTGTCTCCTTTGGAACGATATCCCCCTTAACAAACACAAAGCACGCTTCCTTGTACGTCGAGTGATGATCTAAAAAGCTCTAAGATGAAGAGCACGTTCTCGAGTTTCATCGAGGATTGCGATGGCTGAGCTTGTCGGTCGAGATTGCGTGGTCTCGATATGTATTCAAGTTGATTGAAGATTGAGTGTAGGGTCGATTTACGATTACTTCAGGTCTTTTGGCAACGATTATGAAACCTTACGTGGCACTGATGATTCGTTTCTACGAATAAAATCGATTGTATTCCGATATTTTCCATCTCTTATCGATAGAAAAAAGTTCATCGAGTTAAAGATATTGCATTTTTTCCTAATCCTGTTGCCGTCTTGCGATAATTCTTATTCGATTCTCGAAATATCGAAGAAAGAATAATATTCAATAATAAAATATATATATAAAATTTGAAAGATTTAATTCAAAGAGAAAGAAAAAATTAATTCGAAAGCCATGATTGCAGCAAGATCGAAGTAATTCTCGTCTATAATATTTTCTTATTCCTTTATTATTTCCTCCTCCTCTTTCTCCCTTTCGAAAAGAAAGAAAAAAAAATGATAAAAGTGAATTCTAACGAGAAAACGTGTATCGAATCGTTCGTGGTAACACTTGGTCCGATAATTCGCACGAAGCACGAAACGCGCGGGAATTTTAATTCGAACGACAGATCGAGTCGAGTGGAAAATGAATTCGTGTGGAACAGGAAAGCTGTGGCAAGATAATATATTGCGAGCGATGGAAACGAAGGGTGTGCGAATATTCTGAAATTATTATTTTCGTTCCACGATATATTCACGCATATTTGATTTCAAATATCTTCGAAAATTAAAAATGTTGCATTTTTAATAAATTTTTTTTGATAATTTTTAATAACAAGAAATTGGACATATTTTATTAATGGTTTGTCAAAAATATTGGATGAAAAGAGTAAGAGAATATTGCTGTAATAATGAAGGATGAATTATAGAAGTTATATAGGGTGAAAAATGAAAAATTGTAATACAGTTTATGAGAAAATGATTCCTTAGATGAAATTGTATAATTGCTCTAATTTGAGAAAAATAAATTTGAATATGTGAAACTTGTAATTTTTAGAAATTTTCTTCAAATAATAAATAATGAAGAATTTTATTCATTTAATTAATTATTAATTGTTATTAATTTATGTAGGACAGTATTCATATGACAGTTTAATAAATTTCATTCATTGAGCAATGTGAAATGATAGACACATACTTAATTTAAAATTTGACAGTAAAGTTCCATTACTAATGGATTACCGATAATCGGTAACTGATATAAGTTATTAATCACACAACATTGTGTTCAATAATTATTAATTACCAGTTTCTATATGAACGAAATCAAAAATTAGTTTAAAATCATTTTAACATCATTAGTATTATCGTTAAACTCAATAAATAATAAATACATACGTAAAATTGAAATATCTTAAATTATATTAATATACACGTAATCATAAATCTGAATAATGAAAAATGTACACGACAAATTATTTTGCAATTCTATACAAAATTCGAAATGATATAAATATTATAATCGATATTAGTTCGTATTTATCAAATGGGATAGAAATTTTCACAGGAAAATTCCTTCGACTGTCCGAAGATTAAATTAAAGCTGATTTAATATCGATATTCTGGAAGTATTCCGAGTCATGGAAATCAATTGCGAGCACTTTTCGAGGCGAATTGTTTCGATATGAAATTGAATTATTAACAAAATCGCATTTATCGATGCATACAATTAACGTGAAAAAGATTTATTCTTAACAAAGTTGCCATTAAGATTAATCAAATTGGATTTGAAACTTGATTCTAGTACAGTATTAAATTCAATCTCGATATTTGAATTTTAAATTATTATAAATTAAATTTTTAACTGACAATGAATTTTAAACTTATTAAATGAATCATTTCGTAACGAATTTGCATCAAATATTTGAGATTTTGTTTTATTAAATTATAATAAGATTATATTGACGAATTATAATTGACGAATCTAAGATTATTATTATTATTTCGAAAGATATTGAACACGAAACAAATATATACGACCCTTTCAAAAAAAGCAATTTTTCATTTCACATAAAGTGTATATTACGAAAAAAACGTGGAGGAAACTTGTCAAGATTGGTGACACGTTTTGTGCCATGGCCCCTGCCAGGGATATCACGTACACGTAGTTACGTGCCTGTTAGCTTGTCTTCGTCGTCGAAGGAAGGTGGAAAATCTATGTTATGAGACTTTTGCTTTCATAAGCGTGGCATGAAAGTGAGCTATATGCACGATGAATATTTGTGAAAATTGAAGAGCTCGACGCATCCTTGACATTTTCTTCTTCGAATATTAATGTAACCAAGTGACGAGAGCTATTTATACGTATTTGTATCCGATTGATTTATTTTCGTCTCGTTGCGAGAAGAAAGTGACGAGAGAATATGAAATGAAAAAAAAAAAAAATTTTTATATCGCGTTAATTCGATTCACATCCATAAAAACAATGGACAATCTTTGAAAGATCAATTCTAGGCGTCGAAACAAGCAAAAAAGTTGATATGCCAAAACGTCGATTGGATTGTATTTTTCGAGTTATGCGTAATTTAATTTTAGAGCAGGAACGCCTGTACGTAGGCAACCGGCCCATCGATCAGCTGAGCACGGCTTGGCTAGACCGATTGCCTATGTACAGGCGTTTCTATTATAACGCAATGATTGTTCCTATTCGTGTTATTTTGAATACGTGTTTGATTGAAATTTTTTACGTGTATGTAACGTTAAGATATATTATAAAAAAATTGTTGTATCCATCGAGAATCAAGAATAATTAACAAAATTGACGTCTTGATGTTTGAACCAAAAGTAATCCTGCAATCTTCTCTGCATTACAACTTGTCCAAGTTCTTTAATGCCATTAATAGGATCTAATAACGTCGATGCTGCAAATGGCACGCTAATTACCTTCAAACCAATTACATTTTATTACGTTCAAGTGCGGCGAGATATGTTTGCCTAGCTTTGATGCTAACCATCCTTTTTACGGCCAACTAACTATCCTTTCTGTAATTCTTGTGATTTCGTGATTTTTTGCAATCTGCACACAACTTTAGGTGAATCAAAAGTTAGAATGAAAATGATTCTGCAATTATTTCTATTTATCAAACATATTAACTGAAATATTAATATTAATATATTATTTGATATTAATATATTGATATTAATATTAATTACTATTTTCATTAAATATAAAATACGTTTTAATATTTTAATGAGCATAATAATAAATGTATCATATACGTTTGATGAATCATTCCAACACACAATCTTGTCACCTTTTCAAAGAACCTTTTCAAAGAGAATTTAATTTTCAAACACGATGATAAATTAATCTAAACATATCTAATATTATAATCCTAATTAAATGTGTATTAAAATTAAATAAAAAATAGTATTTTTGCAATCACAATACAATAACACGATATCTATTCGAAGTAAGTAATAAATATATTATTTATCGAGGAGAAATTTAAGAAGATTTGACAGGAAATCAAAAGAGATTAGTCATTTCCTTCCTCTGGAAAATGCGTTTAATTACCTCGTCTACGTTATTACGGTTTAAGTTGTAATAAGGGCATACCATCTGGGATCTTTAATCAAAAGTCGAGCTCTTGAAAGACTTTACAACAATTCTCCTCAACTTTGATTTAAGCTAGCTCTCTCTCTCGATACTTGAATGAGAAGTCGGCTTTTCTACAGTCTTACCAAGGACTTGCTCTTCTTGAAATCCAACTGTTACTTGTCGTTTATTCAATATAGACTTTTCTTCTTTCTTATTTATTATATACGTATAGTATTATTTTTTTTATTTTACATATAATATTAATTTTTTTCAGAAAGATAAAAAAATAGATTTCTGTAAATTTCATGATGCAGAGGAATTTCTTCTCAAGAATTTAAGAGCGAATTCGTTATAGAATTGTTAAAGAAATTGTTTGTCATTTTCACTCGTGTATCTAGAGATTTAATTAAATGGCCACAAAATCAGTACTTTACAAAAATTAAAAAAGAATCAAGTAATAATCGATAAAATTTTAATTCGATATTTAACAAATATATATATATATATATATATTGATCGAGGGATTTCGAAAGAAAGGATATACGCGTTAAAAATTAATAAATTTATTAAAAATTAGTTAATTTCTAGAGATAAAAAATATATTTTTACGATTTTCTACGAACAAGAACACAGTATAACAGAAGAAATAGTAGCTCGTTTCAAAATCATCGCGGCAATGGAATAAATAAAAAAAATGAAAAAAGTGGAAACACGTCCCATTTTCACACTAGAAATGACACAACTCGAGACGACAACACGATTCACTCGCTGTTAACGCAATTCTCATCTAAGCGACGTTTCCAACAGAGAATGATAATGGATCGCGTGGCAATTAGAGCGAGAATATTTTTCCCGTGGCCGATGCATTTCACATAGAAAATTTCCTCGTTTTTCCGTCAGATTAAGGCCGCGCCAATTCTCATTCCCGTTTTTTCACCTCGATTTTTTCACGCTCGATTCGTGTTTGCAACCCATCCGTCGTTACCGACCGAGTCCTTTCTCGAAATCTCTCGATGAAAATTAATCGGCTGAAGGGACGGCGAGGTAGGGAGGGAAGGGGACGTGAATTGAAAAGAAAACCGCGCGACGATAAAAAAAAAAAAAAAAAAACGAGAAGAAATATTAATTGGTTGGATTTTGAAAAGTTTTGGACGAGAAATTTGATGCGACTTTTCTTGAGAATCTTTAGCCAGTTGAAGGAAAATTTGAAAAGTTTTCAAGATTGATGTAGGTAGGATTTTTGATGAACGAGAGAAAAAATTAGAAAAAAA